GAGAGAGAGAGAGAAAATGGTGCATGCATTGAGCTATTTTATATGTAAAAGGGAATGAGAAACAAAGAAAGCAGCCTGGCAGTGAGCGGAGATGGAAGCGAGTAGAAGTATGATAGATAGATATGAGAGCGTAACTAGTGTAGAGACTGTATATAGGGATATCAAAACACGAAGTAAGAGACACAAAATGAGCAGCAAAGGAAAAGAAAAGCAAAGCAAAGAAAAGAAAAGAAAAGAGAGCAAAATGGTATGGTACGGGAGGGGGATAAGTATACTCACAGCGAAAAAAGTAAGGTAGGCAAGATGTAGACAAGAATTTAAGAATGGCAGACGGTAAATAACTAGTTATCTTCCCGGATCAAGCTCGAGTGTCTTTTTTTTTTTTTAGAAGATGAGAGAGACAGAGCTGCCTGCGCATTCTCGTATATCACCGTGGTAGAGCAGGTAAGGTAAGTAAGGTAGATTAAGGAGGTATGAAAAAAGTAAGGAGAAGTAACAGAAAGGAGTATAAGAGAGATGAAATGAAATAGTAGTAATAAGGATGAGATAAGAAAAAGAGATAAGGAAATATAGAAATAGAATTAGAAAATAACAGACCGATAGATGGACAGTACTGACAGGAATGGTGTATATGGCATGGTGTGGTGTGGTGTGGTGTGGTATAAAGTGGTATATGGAGGCATGGAACGCACGAACAGACGGACACAGGGGGTGCAATAGAGACACGAGGGAGGCTATCCAGGAGCAAGGAAGGAGATGAATGAGGGAGAAGGCAACAGATAACAAAAGAAATAAGAGTAAGGGGAGGGGGATATGGAGATGGTGGGAATAAACCAAAGTGCAAAGGCAAAGGGGGAATAGAAAAAGGAAGATTATATCCATGAAATTCCAGATAGAACAAAAAGAAATGAAAAAAAAAAAAAATCATCAAAATGGTCAATCAACTGTGCAATCCTGGACCGGTCGAGAAGGTTAGAGACTGTGTTTTCGAGAGAGATGGATGTATTCGTGTGCCTTTTTCTCGGTTATCCTTGCGGCGGACGTTGAGAGGAGGAGGGGGAGGCCGAGGAGGCTCGGTTGTATGTGCGACTCGTTCGAAAGACAGCGGAACAGACCACAGCATGGTCGAGTGAGATTCGGCTGTTGCTTGGGTCCCCCTGTCTGACTGCTCTCGGGCATCATTGAATCCGATTCCCCCTGCTCTTGACTGTAAATGTTGGCAATTGAAGATGATTTGGTTTTAAAATGGCTTGCTTTTCCTTTTTGAAAATCGTACACCCCTGGAAAGAATCCTCTACCTGTGTTTTTGCGCGTCACTTCGTGTCTCTTATCAGTCGAATTGACCCTTTTTTCTTTCTTTCTTTTTTCTTTTCCTTTGGCCGAACCTCCCATTGTCCGTTATGTTTAATATGTTTCTCTCCTCAGCCCGTTCTGTCTGTCGTCTGGTTTGCCTGCCCGCCTGTCTCTCGGATTGTTCATGGAATGTTTTCCCTCCCCAACCTCCCTCCTTCCCTCCCCCCCTCGTCTCTCTCTCTCTCTCTCTTTTCTCTCTTTTTTTTTGTTATTATCTTGTTTTCATTCCGTTTACATGATAATGCACTTGGCGCAGCAGCCGGCCTGGTCGCCATGGTCGTCGACGTCCACCTTGCCCTCTGGGCCTCGGGATCCGAACCCACCGCCACCGGATGAGTAGGATGACATTTCTTTGTTGTATCGGCGGATTTCTCGAACGATATCGTAAAAGGCGTTGTCGACGTTGATGCGTGACTTGGCTGATGTCTCGATGAACTTGCATCCAAAGCTCCGTGCTAGTTTTTCGCCATCTGTCGAGAGTTAGTTAGGCGATGTTCGTAGAAGAAGCAGAGTAGGCAAAAAGAAAAAGAGACGCACCCTCTTGTGAGACTTCTCGCTCCTTTTCCAAGTCGCACTTGTTGCCTACGAGGATGATGGGGAAGTAGTCCTTGTCCTTGACTCGGAGTATCTGCTGCTGGAACGTGATGATTTCCTCAAACGACTGCCGAGAGGTGATGGAGTAGACGAGCAGGAAGCCCTCGCCGGTTCGCATGTACTGTTCTCTCATGGCCGAGTACTCTTCCTGACCGGCGGTATCGAGCACGTCTAGCAGGGCGACCTCGTCGTCGATGACGCATTGCTTTCTGTATGAATCTGTGACGGATGAGTCTATGTACGGAACAAGAGGAAGAAGACGAAGACGAAGACGAAGACAGAGACGATGAAGACGATGAAGAATAAGAAGAGAGGAGGAAGGAAAGGGGAAAAAAGGCACCTTCAATTGTAGGGTCATATTCGTCGACGAAATGGCTCTGGATCAATTGGATGGTCAGACAGGATTTGCCGACACCACCGCCGCCGACGACGACCAGCTTGTATTCTCGGAGATACTGCAGACGTTAGCAGGAGTAAGGGAGCAGAAGAAGAGCCGGCTTACTCGTGAGGCCATGATGTGTTGAGAGTAGTCGTAACAACCGGAGGAGAAGAAGAAGAAGAAGAAGAAGAAGAAAGACGACGACGACGACGCAGCAGCGTAAGGGGGGCGGCTTCGGAACAGACGACGGCGACAACGACAACGACGAAGAGGAGGAAGAACGACAACGCTGGAGACTCCCTCTCTTCTAGACGGATTCTCGACAGGCCGAAGAAAAAGAGAAGAGAACGAAGTGAAGAGATATAGAAGGACGTCAAGTCAGAAGAAGGGCCAAAAAGAAAGAAGAAACGAGAGATCGCAGCAAAGAGTTCGAGTCGGTGGTTGCAGCAGTTGAGAAGCGACGGCGAGGAGGAAAAAGCAAAAGGACAGCTTCTTAACTCCTTTTCGAGGAGGCGACAAGACGAAGATAAGTAGAAGATGAAGAGGAGAAGATGATAAGTAGTAGAAGAGAAGATGAAGATGAAGATGAAGAAGTAGAAGAAGAGATGGGCGCTGCTCGAGACGCTGGATGTTCTTCTTTGCTGCTCTCGACTCGACGACGTTTGACGCTCGCCCTTTTTTTCTTTGCTATCAGAAAAGACGAAGAAGAAGAAAAGGAAGAAAGAGAAATAAAAAAAAAAAGGGAAATAAAAAAAGGGAAAAAAAAGAAGCAAAGAAAAGCAAAAAAAAGAGAAGAGAGAGAGTAAAAAAAGGAAAAAAAGGAAAAAAAAAAAAGGGACCGCTATCTTAGTTGTTGATTATTATTTCTACTACAGCACCAGACTACATAAGAGACAAACCACAGCAGTCGACAGGAGTGATACGAGAGACAGAGAGAGACAGAGATAGATGCAGGTCGACTGGCTACTTGGATGGCTTACAGGAAGGTCTGTCTCCTCGCCGTCGCTTCTACTGGCGAGTAAGTGTACCATGCAGGCATTCGGCGGCATCCACGAACGAACGACCGGCAGCAACAAGCAGCAGATACAGCAGCAACAGCAGATACTACAGCAGCAGCAAGCATCAGGGCGATGGACAGCCTCGAGCAGCGTCGTCTTCCGGGCATAACCCTGCAGCAGGGCCGCGGGCGTCTCAGCGAGCCAGACGACGGCGCGTTGAGGCGTCTTCCTGCCCGTATACATGCTACTCCGTCCAGCACCGCAGGCACCGCAGATCCCCAGCAGGCATCATCCTGCCACCGCCCGCCAGCCTTCGGCTCAGTTGACTGCTGCTCTTACTCTACTCGACTCTACACACCTAGTACACTGATACTTCTTAAGAGAATCCCCGTTGGCACGTTCTCCGTCTACTTAGACAGCCAGTGGAGTTTGCAGAAGCTGGAAAGAGAAGGGAGAAAAAAGGGGGCCCTGTTCCCCATCCTCAGGTCCCATCCATCCCAGGCTTTACTTTTTGATACTTAACGCCTTTTTGCCTTGGGAAAAAGGGATTGGCCTGGCTTGACGCCGGAGATTGCGAGCATCCACCCGCTAACAGGTTAGGCTCGCCCAAGCTACGGAGTATGTACCTTACTGATGATGTAAAAGTAAGTATGTACTTACTTCCTGACCTACTACTACTCGGTGCAGCACCTACTTATGTGTGATAAGCCTCCCCCGGGGAAAGCTATCACACGGCGCAGATGCAGGTAGTCCGTTGGTTGCCTGGGTAGCAGCAAGGCCAACAAGGCAGGCAAGCAAGCCAGCAAGCAAGCCAGCCAGCAGGAGTCAAAACGGACAGCCACTTGGTCTGTCCTGCGAGCTCCGGACGGTCACAGCCAGGCCTCTATTCGCTGATGGCGTCTCGATACGGCGGAGTATCCGTCCTGCTACTGGCTGACCTGAGACCTCGCTGCGTGCGTGCGTGATCTAGTTCCTGCATGAGACGTGAACTCTGGGAGGGCATGGAGACTGCCCAGAGACCCGAACCGGGCCTGGAGACTGGAGTGCATTTTGCCCTTCTTTTTTTTTTTTTTTTTTTTTTTTTTTTTTTTTTTTTTTTTGCACATGCTTTCTACATATTTATTATTTTATTACGAAAAAATGGCCACTCAACTCTGGCTCTGCTCCGTACAAAACGACCTTGATGGAGTCAGGCTCCGTCGTCCTGCTACGCTACTACGAAGTGCAACTGCTTTGCTCGAGTTGGTTACGCCAGCCGGTGCTAGGAAGCTCGACTGCCACCCGCCAGTTAGGTACAAGGTACAGGTACAGGTACAGGTACAAGGTACTACTCTGTACTTCTGTACTTCTCCTGTGGCCTTCACCGGTCAGCCCTGTCAGGGTTTCACACGCTACCAGCTCTCCCTTGCTCTCGACCTGCCAGGCCCAAAAAATCTTGCAGCCCTTGCTTGACCTTTCCCCTCCCACTCCCACGTCTCATCTCGGTAGAGGGGACACTTAGCTACTTACGGAGTATGTGCCTACAGTTAGGTTATCCTCCCTGGCCCTGCTCTCATCGGCTCGCTGGGCCGATATACATATTTTAATTTATTATTTCCTCGTGCTTCTTCTTCTTCTTCTTCTTTCTTCTTTTTCTTCTTTTTGCAACGACAGGCCTTGTCATGCCATGCGGATCTAATCCCTGGCCCTGGGAGTTTCGGATGTACAGTATCATTAGTTACTCATGGCATCGACTGCAACCTCTCGCTGCCTGTTATCATACCTATCATTATCGGTGTGCTTACAGAGAGTGTTCCGTACATGTGTTGCATCCGTGTTCGCCGGCTTATTATTGCCCATTTATGCAAGTAGATCACACATCTACCGACTTCGATGGCTCTACGCTGGCACGAGCAAGACAGACCAGCAGGTCTCTGGCCGAAGGATCCGTCTCTTATCTCCGGAGTAGCATACTCGTCCATCTCATCCTGGCCTTGGGCTCCAGACGGTCAGGATTGATATTGCATCTTTGATAGTAGTGTTATGTCACAGTAGTGTCCTACTCTGCGATCTGACCCTCTCGTTTCTCGTATTATATTGGCCATCTAGCCTTAAGGAACAGTCCAAGTCCACAGCAACCTCACACCACTTAAGTCATTTATTGGCAACCCCCCCTGCCCTGCCCTGCCGGCGTGGATCTCCTCGCGGGTGATGTTCAGCCCAAAAACAGCCATGATGGATGCCCTGCCCTGTCGACATTTCACGTGTAGAAAGTGCTTTTTCTCGCTTCTTCTTCCTCTTCTTTCTTATATTTACCTCTTTTCACCTCAAAGAGACTATCGCTTTTGGGCCTGGAGGGGACTGACTTTTCTACGCCCGCCGGACAATGCAAGGTACCTCATCTACTCAATCTAGTGTAGGAGCTAAGCTAAGCGGGCAAGCTTGGCAGGAGGTACATAGCAAAGGACTCAAAAAAAGGGGGTTTGATAGACAGTAACAACAATAACAATAGTACGGAGGGACAATGGACAAGACACGTTCTATATACAGATCTACATGGTCAAGTCCTCATCCGTGTCCTCGGATTCATCTCTTTTTTCTTTACTCTCGGACCTTCTGCCCGTTCTGCTTCTTGGGCTTAGGACCTCCTATATAGAGCCGTTGGCGAGCCCTACGAGGACGCGCGCGTGTCAGAAAAAATTCACGTTTGACTCCAGAACGGGGGAAAGGGAGAAGGGGGAAAGGAACGGAAACGGAAGACAAGATTTGCTCGGTTGGGGGCTCCTTTGATATGAAAATGGATTGAAAGGAGAAAAAAAAAAAGTAAAAAAACTCACTTGATGCTGTGGGTAGATCAACGTATCCGCGATAACGACGTTCTCCGGCCGCCCAGCAGTGAATACGATTACCTCCGCGATGTCCTCTGCTGTGAGAGGATCACAGCCACTAGATATCACACACACATTCAACAACAGTCAGTGTCACGGAACTTGACAGCTCATCAGAGAGAGAGAGAGACTAGAACTTACGCATAAACAGCATCCGCCTTGGCTTTGTCTCCGTAAAATCTCACCACGGAAAATTCCTGCAAACATCGCCGCCGCCGCCGCTCCTGCGTTAGCTTATATCGTGGTCCAAATCATCTTTTATCTTCAATCACCAAAAGTTAAGTGGTTAGATGCTTACAGTTTCAACTTGGCCGGGATCAATTTCAATAACCCTGATGCGAGTAGCGATGAGTTCCTTCCGGAGAGCGTCGGTGAAGCTTCGGACCGCCGCCTTGGTAGCGCAGTAGATGCTGCCGCCGGGGTACGCCTCTCGGCCAGCAATGCTTCCGAGATTGATGATGTCTCCCCGTCCACCGTTTGGCCTCTTCTGGAAGATAGGTAGCACAGCCTGAGTCATGTGGATCAAGCCATGAACATTGGTGTTGAACATCACCTCCAGATCTTCCGTGGCGATCTCAGGGGCCTTTGCTACTCCTCTAACAAGTCCGCTGCACCCAACCAGTCAGTCAGTCAGTAGCCGTACTGCATGTACTCAAACAAACACATTGTTCCGTCCGCGCTCGTCCACAAGAAGGGGATGGTTGCAAAAGACATACGCATTGTTCACTAGGATATCGATCTCCTTGAACTCCTCCGGCAGCTCGACGATGAACTTGTCGATGTTCTCCTTCTTGCTGACGTCAAGCTGCACCGGAAGCACCTTGACGCCCTCCCCTACCTCCGTCTTGATCTGCTCGGCAACCTGCTTGAGCGAGTCGAATCGCCGAGCAGTCAGGATGAGTTTCAGGTTCTTCGGCGACGTTCGCGCGAATTCCAGCGCGGTGGCCTTGCCGATGCCTGACGATGCTCCGGTCACTAGGATCGTCTTGCCGTCAAGGCGTTTGCCCATCGCGGTGGCCATTGTCCGTCTCGTGTAGGTGCGATGGACGATCTGAGCGAGTGATGCCGGGCTAGAGCTAGAAAGCGAGGGCCGGCTGTTGCTTAGAACGATCGATCGGGAGTCAAGGGCGCCTAGGTTTCTGATAAACGTTCGAAGACGCAGCATGGATATAGCCAGAGCGTCGATTGGCCCCCTTTTCTCTTCCTTTCTTCTTCTCGTCCTCTGTATCTCGTCGTCGTCGTCGTTGTTTACATTGAAAGCTGCGAATGTTGACTCTTCTCCCCGCAGTTTTCCCCCTTTGCCGGATTAGTCATCCGACTTTAGGGCTTAGCGCCGATATTAGCCACGGTCATGTGACGTCACTAAAAAAATACCACAAAAAAAGGAGAAAAAGGAGAAAAAGGAGAAACATCTAAAGAGATGCCATGCATGGATATATGAAGATAGAGAGGTCTCTATATTTGTACAGATATGCTCGGGCTAATGCCTCGTGCTTTTATAGCTGAGACATTCCCTAGAAGTATAGGGAAACTAAGATATCCGGCTTTCTTGTAACTCTCCACTGTAGAGTTGCTTTAAGACACAACTGCATGTCCAATATGTATACCCCATACTGCCTTTATGCCTTCTCATTTGCCTCATATCACTCTATGCTGGATACAAAGGATAGTCAGTGAAGGTATATTCCCCTATAGTGGATTAATCAAGACATAGCGGGCTATATGAAGAGCATACCTCTCTAGTGTTTTTGACCAGGCCAGGTAGAAAGGAGAGCTGTGAATACCTAAAGCAGGAGAGGCTCTCTTTCCCAGTCTTGCTACTCCTATGTCTCTATACCCACATTATTGCTTCCTGATAATGTAGATATACTGTTATACTAAGAGTGTAATCTATTACATGCCAACACCTATAACTGACCTGACTGCTAATGTCGTTATGCCTGCCGTTCTTCACTAGCTATAGGACGCCGAGCACAGTCGTTCACTTAGAAAGAGCTAGAAGACTAAAAAGAAAGGCCTTCACGATGTTGTCGTAGTCTTGCCCTAAAAGAGGGAGTCAGGGAGGGCAAGGGCACACGCAACAGGATGGATGGCCTTTTTTCTCCTCTTCTTCTCATCCTCCCTCTCTTCTCCCACCTCTCTCTCCTGTCATCACCATCATCTCACCTATTAAAGACATCTTCA